TGTTCTGATGGGATGTCAGCCTGATGGTATGATCGAACTTAATCTGGTTAATCAGGAATCTGGCTGTTAAGATACTTCATGTGTCAGAAGATTACATAGATTCAACGCAGTTGATGCGAATAATGGATGGTCATTGGTTATTCACAAGGAACTGAAATATCTCACTCAGAACAATGTTTGGAATCTGATCACGTGTTTCTCTGATCACGGTTCAACAGGTAGCAAATCAACTGTCATTAAATGTATATTTGATGGTGTTGTGTTAAGTGATGCAGGACTAACAAGAAACAGAAGCATCAGCTGGAGAGCATACAGGGACAACTCCCTCATGAAACACATCCCTGTGCTCACACTTAAAAGGAAGCAGTGGGTTATCAAACTCCTTCTTACTCAGTTAGTATGGAACCAACGTGTGAGGTGTGCAACCGTAAGACACAGACTCTGGCTGACTGGGGTATGACTCATGATATGTCTTTCTCTTTACTGAATTGCTTGGGTCTTACGTGGTGCTTGTTGAATTGTCAAGCTAGAATGAGAACTGAGCATATGTGTACTAAGCACCATTTGATCAATCTGCAAGAAAGTTTATCAAAACTCTGTTTTCAAAAATGGTTGCTAGGTCTAAATCTCATCTTGCTCTTTGTGAGCACTAAGTCTTGACCTGTTCTGGATGGTTGTGTGGTACATAGTTGTTTCAGGATAGCAAGTGTGTTTTTTTAATCCATTGTACATATCACCTCTCAAAACCTCTCATCGGCATGTCAACTCAGAAAAAGAGCTGCTCATCATACATGTTCAGAACTGGTTTCTGTTTTCCTTATCTCTCTCTAATCCATTCTGTTAGGTTGAAAGGAAAAGAAAGAGAAAAAAAAGAGAATCAAAGAAAAAGAAAAATCAAAGAAAAGAGAATCAAAGAAAAAAAACCCAGAGAAAGAAAAAGGGTGAACAAAAAGAAACCATGACTTAAGTTATGTCACTTGCTCAAAATTGAGAAACAAGTGGGGAAGGAGCTTAATGTTCTATATGTGAATCTCTCTTGACACTCAGAATAGTCTTCACATCAGCATACATTCTCAGTGATCAACTCAGAATTGTCAAGCTAGAATGAGAACTGAGCATATGTATGCTGATGTGAAGACTATTCTGAGTTGATCACTGAGTGTGAAAGCTCTTTAGTGAGAAATAGCTACCTCAATGGGCTGGTGTGTTGAATCACCTTCAAAAAGACTTCCGCTTGCTGTTCTGATGTCAACTTGTGTTGTCACATGTCCTCTTGGACAAGTCTGAGGGTTTGTGTCTCTATTCTGTATACATATGTATGTATCTTGGTCAAATTCTTCTCTTTCTGGTTCACATACTTTGTTCTCAGAAAATCAGTGTTGTTCGGAGACTAGTTCTCGTCTGTAGCAACTCGGTTCACAGTGGTTGCATTTTTGCTCCCTGTTTATGTGACTGCTGCATGAGTCTGATTGTGTGTATATACGATTAGGTCTAGGTTCTTGTGTTACTGTCATCTCCCTATTTTGTGTATTTTAAATCTCATGGGTTGTGATTATGTTAGGTTATTTCCTAGCTGGTTAAGATCATTTCTTTTGGTCGTTGTCGTTTCTCTATCATTTAAGTTTGAATCCTATGTTATTGATGAATGGGTTCCATCCGTTAGTTGGAAATAGATATTTTGTAGGTATTGGCCCACATATCTCCATGAGATCTTGTTGGGCTCTCTTAAAGAGAGATAATGGGCTTGGAAACGGTTCAGAAAAGGGAAGTTTCTTGAATGGCGGTTTACTTTTCTGAAAATCGAGGGAGTGGAGGGAAAACGAACTGTTCACGCCTCGGTCTGTCCTATCACGTGTAATTGTTCTCTTTTCTCATTTATGCACCCTAGTTTTTCTCTCTTCTACAGTTCACATCTCTCTCTTGCTTCTGTACTTTTCTCTCGCTTCTGGCTCTCGTTTTCTGCGCGATTTGCAGAAATTATCATGACTAAGTCACCGGGAAAGGTTACTGAAGATCCGTCTCCAGGCAAGTTAAAGAGGGTTGTTGCGTCTGACAAGGGTGGTGGTTCAAAATCCAAGAAACAGAAGTGTACTGCAATTGTAAAGGTTGAGTCGAAGGTGGTTCCGATGACTCAGCATCTTCGAACAAGAGATCGTATTCATACCTCGAAAACAACAACAACTTCAACACCTCTGGATGTTGATGATGATAGTGGAGATTCCGGATCTGGGAACAGAGACTCTGTAACTCATCAGGGGTCATATCTGTATGCTGGAACGGGTGCTGGTGCCTCAGGAACTGCAAAAGGTCGACATGCATTCCAGTTGGAAGAAATGGTGGAGGATCCTGAGGATATAAGACTAGCCTTCATGAAAAGATATGAAGAACACCGTCAGATTGTGTATGCTCGTGACCGGAAGTACCCGAAACTCAAGAAATGTGCGCTGGCTCCGTACGACAACAGGGTTGCTTCTCTTGCTGCAGCCAACAGACACAAGGTGATCTCCGTCAGGAACTTCAATGAGATGTGTATTCTGAAACTGGGAGTAGAGACTTAGCAGACTGCCGAGAAGTACATTGAGG